ATGGACTTTGACACGAGGTTCGAGACGTCGTTGGCCCCGGTTTGGGTGTTATTGCCCAACCTTAAGGCCAACTGTTTCTCGGAACCTTGTCTCAAACAGATTGTCAAACCTATTGGAAGGTTTTTACAGGTGGATACAAGGCTAAGTTCACCCGGCCTAGTGTGGCTAGGGTGAAGGTTGAGATTGACTTGCTGAAGCCCCGGTGCCGCAAGATGTTCATCCGATTAGGGACTGCGCGCCCGGATCGGGAGGCCGTGGGGTTTTGGCAGGCGATAGAGTATGAGTGTATCCCCCCGTATTGTTTGAACTGCAGGAAACAAGGCCACTTGGCCTATAGTTGTCGTGTCCCTGGTGGTGGGGCAAGTGCTCCACGTTCCTCGGCATCACATGTGCCGGCATCAATGGCTGATGCTGGCCCGCTCCCTACCGGGGGGGTCGGCCAGGACCGGGGATCAGCTATTGTGTTGGATCATCGGGACATGACGGCCAGTCAGAGGAAAAAACAAAGTGATAAAGAAAAGCAGACGAAAGGTAAGGCCCCGATGGTTGACAATAGTCAGGGGCCGGGTGCTGGTACAAGTAATAAGGTATGGCGGGCCCTCTCAGCTAGCCGGACCACCCCGGTGCCGGTTAGTAATGGGTTTGCTGTGCTCCAGGATGAGAGCTTAGTCTCTGAGGAGGCTATTGTGGGGTCGGGGGGTGGCGACTTACCAACTACCCCGGTCGATAGCAGGATATCTGTAGGTACGACAGCGCCCGGGGTAGGGGATGGCCAGTTGTCCACTATCCCGGAGGTTACGGAGGGCTTTAGTCCCTCAGGAGGGTGGCTGCAGAGCCCGCATCAGGTATCTTTCTCTTTCACTCCTATTTCTCATCCTGTCTTTTATGGTCCCCTTGAGTTGGGGACGCCGCCCTGTACCCCCCCTAGTGATACACTCTGGCTGTCCCAGACACCAGATTCTTCTCCTAAGGCTCCTTGGGGGCCGAGAAGAGGGAGGGAAAGGGCTTGGTCAGATTCCGACGTGCCGGTGCCTGGTCATGAGCGTGAGGAGTGGGCCCCGGAGTCGGGGTCTGACTCTGAGGATCGGGTTCTTGACGGTGTAGGCCCGGTAAGACGTCGGCTTAGCCATACCAGAAAAGGGGGGGACCCCTCTCGTCCGGAGCCGGGTGTTTTATCGTCTATATGAAAATACTCGTCTGGAATGTGAGGGGGGTCTCCTCCCGGGGTTCTGCACGCAGGATCCGTGTTTTGTTAAGAATGCATTCTCCTTTTGTACTTTGTCTACTCGAGCCTTTCAGCTCGTCTGATTGGCTTGAGTTTTTTAGAATTCGTTTTAATTTTGATAATGTTTTTGCTTCTAGTAATAATAAAATTTGGCTTTTTTGGAATAATGACTTGGCAGTAACATTTGAGAGTCAGACTGAGCAGTGTGTTACGATATCTTGTGTACATTCTACGGTTCTCACGCCTTTCTGGCTCTCATTTGTTTATGCCAAGACCAAGGTACGCCTCCGGGACCCTCTGTGGGTTGAGCTGAAAGCTGTTTTTTCTATGATCCCCGAGGGTGTGCCTTGGGCGGTTGCTGGAGATTTTAATTGTCTGTTAAGTGTGGATGAGAAAAAAGGTGGGCTTCCGTATTCTCACCGGAAGACTACTGATTTTCAGGAGTGTGTCAGCGCGTGTGACTTGATCGATGCGGCCTATTACGGTTCCTATTTCACCTGGTGGAATGGGCGCCATAAAGAGGCGGCCATATGGATGCGTTTGGATCGGTTCCTCTACACCTCGGTGTGGGAGTCGGTCTTTACGTCATCCGTACGGCATTTGCCAAAGTCCACGTCTGACCACAGTCCACTTCTGATATCTTTTGAGTTGGTTAGTATGCAGGTAATCCCGAAGCACTTTGTTTTCCTGAACGTGTGGATTAAGCACGAAGATTTTCTGAGGGTGGTGCGTGATAGTTGGCAGGTTCCTGTAGAGGGGGCCCCTATGTTTGTAATAGCCACCAAGTTGAACAGGTTGGGGAAGGTTCTGAGCACGTGGAGCAAGACAGTGTTTGGGGATATCTTTGTGAAGCTCCGGGAGTATGAGGATAGTGTTCAGACCCTAGAGGCTGCCTTACAGCAACACCCAGATGATGAGAATGCTTTAATTGAATATAAAAAAGGTGTTGCTTTGTTACAGAAACAGATTGCTATTGAGGAGGAATTTTGGCAGCAGAAGGCGCGTATCACCGAGGTTCAGGATGGGGATAGAAACTCCTGGTTTTTTCACTCAGTTGTTAAGGAACGCAGGCGTAAATTATATATACACAGAGTGAAGGGGGGTGACGGTGTGTGGCTAGAGGATAGGCAAGGGATTGCCAATCAGGCGGTCTCTTTCTTTGAGCATATGTTCACCGCGAAGATCGGGGGTTTTGACTTGACTAGGCTGGACTGTGTCCCACGGTTGGTTACAGAGGAGGATAATGAGGTTTTGACGGCTGTGCCTGAGGTGGAGGAGGTGAAGGCGGTTGTAATGCAGATGAACTCTACGAGTGCGGCAGGGCCGGATGGTTTCTCGGGGGCCTTTTATAAGGCTTGCTGGGATATTATTCAAGATGATGTTGTCAGTATGGTTCGGAGTTACTTTGCGGGACGAGAATTCACCAGGGCTATCACGCACACATCCATCGTCCTGTTGCCGAAGAAGCCGAGTCCAGAAACGTTTGCAGATTACAGGCCCATCAGCCTGTGCAACTTCAGTAGTAAGCTTATCACGAAGCTCATGGTGGTTCGGATGGCTACAGTCTTGCCCCGGGTGTTGTCACCGCAGCAGAGTGGGTTTGTGACTGGTCGGTCTATTACAGATAATGTTCTTCTGGCATCCGAGATGTGCCACGGGTTGAGCTGGCAGAATCGAGATATAGTCCTTAAGCTAGACATGGCTAAGGCTTATGACCGGGTATCATGGTTTTTCCTGATTTCGGTGATGCGCCGCCTGGGTTTCAGTGAGGTCTGGATAGATATGGTGTTCCGGGCTGTGTCTAATGTATGGTATTCAGTGATTGTGAATGGAGTCAAAGAGGGCTTCTTCACATCTACACGGGGCCTCAGGCAAGGGGACCCGCTGTCCCCGACTCTGTTTGTGATTGCAGCTGAGGTCTTGTCGGTGTACCTTGCGCGGGTTTATGATGGCACTACGGTGCCCCGTTTTACACAGCCGCCAGGGACACCGCATATTCACCATCTGGCCTATGCGGACGATGTTATTATTTTTAGTACGGCCAGGTTGGGAGCTATTGAGGTGGTAATTGGGGCGTTAAAGGAGTATGAGGAGATCTCGGGACAGCTGGTGAGCTTTCAGAAGAGTGCGTTTTATATGCACCCTCGTACTCCGGCCCATGAGATCGAGCAGATTTGTCGGGCAACGGGTTGTGTGCATAAACAGTTTCCTTTTACTTATTTGGGTTGCCCGGTGTACATAGGCTGTAAAAAATGTATTTATTTTGCCTCGGTGATTGATAAAGTTAAGGCTAGATGTTTGAGTTGGCAGCGCAGGGTGCTTTCAAAGGGCGGGAAGGCAATTTTGATCTCTTCGGTCTTGCAGGCCATACCGCTGCACTTATTTTCGGCCTGCGCACCGCCTAAGCAGGTCATATGGGATTTGGAGAAATGCTATGCGAGTTTTTTCTGGAAACAGTCAGGGGGCGCCCGGTACCATTGGAGCTCGTGGAAAACCCTCTCTCGTCCTAAGAAGGAAGGGGGGGCGGGGTTCTTGGACTTGGACCTGATGGTAAGGGCGGCCAGTGCTAAATTGTGGTGGAATTTCCGGACGGAACACACACTATGGTCAGACTTTATGAGGGCAAAATATTGCAGCCGGGTTCACCCGGTTGCTAAGCTGGTCCAGAATACAGATTCGCACACCTGGAGGCGGATGTTGGCGGTACGCGATGAGGTTAAGAGGGTTCTGACTTGGCGATTGTTCCAAGGCCGGGTTAATTTCTGGTGGGACAACTGGTCGGGTCTGGGCCCGCTTGGCAGACTTTATCCACACCGGGGGGTTTCTTACTCCCGGGAGTTGCTTCTAGACTATGTGCGAGATGGCGAGCTTGATCTGACTGACCACGATGACTTGGCATATGCAGGGATTAGTGCGGACCTGACCCGCTTCGGGCAGGGCCCGCGTGATATCCCACTCTGGACCGTGGCGTCCGAAGGTATGTTTTCTTATTCCTCTGCTAAGGCCTTTCTCAGGCCTGCTTTGCCCACTGCACCGGACCCTCTCTTAGCTAAGTGTTGGCGCAAGCACCTTCCTTTTAAGGTGTCCTTCCTGGCTTGGAGAGTTTTCCGAGGGCGGCTTCCCACGGACGACATCTTGGCTCATTTCGGTCATGCTATCGTCTCGAGGTGTTGGTGTTGTCCAGCCCCGGTCCCCGAGTCTATTGATCACATTTTCTACTCTGGGGAAACAGCAAAAGCTGTCTGGAGATATGTTTTGGCGTCCCTCGACCTCTGCTCGCGACACCGGAGTCTTAGGACTTTGATTGTGGGATGGGGTCGGCGGGGGGCGCGTAACCCTCTTTTGTCTTTTGTTGTTTGCAGGTTGCCGTATCTGGTGTTGTGGGAGCTGTGGAAGCACCGTAATGGGTGCATGCATGGCCGGGACACGCCCAGTGTTGCACGAGTGATGCATGGGGTGGCAAAGGGGGTGGCGGAATGCCTGTTTAGGCGGTGGCCGACGCAGCATATCCTGCCATCTAATTGGAGGACTATTGTGGCGTACTTGGAGGCACATGTGCCGAGGCGTGTTGTTAGGACGGTCAGGTGGTCCCCTCCCGCTGCCGGTGCGTTAAAGATTAATCTATCTCTATCGTCGGCAGTAGGGGGGCGGCGGCCGTGGTGCGCAACCAGGAGGGTGGCTTTTGCTATGGGGTTGCGTGGTCTGGGCATGGGGAGCATGCCCGGGGCATGTTCCGGGTCTTGTTTCTCGTGTCTGGAATGGTGCCTGGCCGAGGGCTATACAGAGATTGTGATGGAATCCACGTGGGCGGAACTGTGTAGTTATGTGGATCTTTCTTTTCGCCCGCCGTGGTTTCTGGATGACGTGGTATCCAGGCTCCGGTTCCTGTGGGGTAGTCTCTGCAGTTTTGTGCTCGTCTAGGGCCAATCTACCTGCATGGACACTGGCTGATTGGGTGGTTGATAAGCCAGGGGAGGCCATTTTTCGGGACCTTAATGATCTGCCACCTAGGGTGCGTTCGCTGTTGGTACACGATGACATACCCTATGTGTTTTTTGAGATAGATGACCCCCCGTGATTCTGGTCTGCTTGTAAGTTGTACTACTGGTCTGAAAAGTTTGAAAAAAAAAAGAAAAAAGAGAAATGAAAAAAAGAAAAAGGAAAAAAAGAAAAAAGAGGTTGAAAAGAATGAAAAGAAGTAGAAAAATATGAGTGAAAAGAATTGGAGTGATCAAAAGAAATGAGTGGTAAAATGAGGGATGGTAAGAAAAGAAAGAGCGAAGTTAAGCTAAAAACAGAGAGTGTGTGAGGTGTTCTTGGAGGCTATGAAGTCCTGCTGGTCGGGACTGAGTCTCAACGTAAGGTGTTGGCGGTACAACATGGCACCCTAGTCTGGGCTGAACGGTGCACCAGGCAGGACTAATCAAATCCGTTGACCTGGTCAGGCTTGCTGCTGGCCAATAGTAGCCGAGTCCCTTCTGGACTCCGGGGGGGCGGGTCTCATTTGGGGGGTTGCTGTTTGTTCGTGTCAGCCTGTTAATACCTATACACTCACCTGATGCGAAAGACAGAAATAGTTGAGGTCGAGGAAACAGGATGTTGTTTGTTCTTCTTGTTTTCTATTTTGCATGTTTGTTTCTTTGGCCTCCGAGGCGTATACTGGTCTATAGGCTTTTGGTTCCGCCTTTGCAGGTGTCTTTGAGATAGACCAGGCCTCAACGTTGGTGCAAGCGGTAAGAAGTTGCATCCTGGCCCGGGCTGAACGGTGGCCGGGTAGGTGTTTCTCAAATCCGTTGGCAGAGTCCAAGCTTGCTGCTGGCCCATAGTAGCTAATCCCGTTAGGGTGTTGGTTCGTGCTGGCGCTGATCGGGGTTCGGTGCTATTGGCTGCTTCGTTCTATGATTGCCATATCTGCTGGCTTGTGTTTGCCTGTACTTCTATGTAATGTTTTGATTGAGGCCTGTGTGCCGACTTTAGCTTTGTCATTTCGTCATGTTGGTGCGAGTTGCTGCTTTAACAGGGCAGCCAATAGCACCTCAGGAGGTGGTGCGGTCATTGCTAGGTCTCCTCGACTACGATGGCCGTGAAGGCAGCTGGATTATACTTGCATTTATTCTCGGGCAGCTGTGTTTGTATTTAGTTATAGTCTTGGGTCTAGTGTTAGTTATCTAGCATGGGACTTGGGGAATGCATGTTATAGCCCCGGGGGCCTACTTTATGTTATCTCGTTTATTTTCTAGCTTAGTTTACTTAGTTTTATTTAGTGGGATTCTGGTCGGCTGGCCTAATCCCTTGGACTTTGTACTGGCTTTGGCCTTTCTTTATTAATAAAGTATCATTTACTTAAAAAAAAAAAAAAAAAAAAAACTCTAAACCCTAAACCCTAAACCCTAAACCCTAAACCCTAAACCCTAAACCCTAAACCCGAAACCCGAAACCCGAAACCCGAAACCCGGACCCCAAACCCTAAAACCCTAAAACCCTAAAACCCTAAAACCCTAAACCCTAAACCCTAAACCCTAAACCCTAAACCCTAAAATCCTAAACCCAAACCCCAAATTCCAAAGCAGCTCCGTCTTCCTCATCACTTCCTATGACCAACTTTCTCCATCGGCGAGATATGAACCAGCGGCAGTAGATGGAGTCAGCAGGTCGGCGTGACTGGCGGCAGAGCAACTTGGACCTCCTTAGGCGTGAACAGCATCGGCGTCCCTTGTTTTCGACAAGAGCAGAACATTCCGACGACCTCCTCCATCTTCTCCCTCCCTCTGTGCGTGACCAGCAGCGGTGGACCATCAAGAAGTCCAACGTAGCATCTCCACGACCCATGGACCTCCGGTGGCGACTCTGACGAACAGAACACCGGCTAGGCAGCAGCTGAACGAAGCAGTACCCATCGGCGGCATCCCCTGTTTCCAGCTAAGCTTGGCAGTTCGGTGGCTGATCAGTGTAGCTTGGTAGCCGGCGATACCCCTCTCCCGGTGAGCATGGTGTTAGTGCGTGTGTGGAGGCGTGGCTTTGAATCCATGGGTGAGACTCATTTCTCTATATTAAAGCTTGAGTATGATGAAGCTTATTATTTATGTGGATATTGATATTATGATAATGGTTAAAGATGAGATTAGCTATTAGAAAACCCCAAACCCTAAAACCCTAAACCCCAAACTCTAAAACCCTAAACCCCTCCCTAAAACCCTAAAACCCTAAAACCCTAAAACCCTAAAACCCTAAACCCCAAACCCCAAACCCCAAACCCCAAGCCCCAACTAACTTGCGCACTGCCCGAATTTTCTCTCTGGCGATTTGAGAGAAAAAAGGCGACAAGTCTCCCGAAAATAAAAAATTCCAATTTTCGACGCCGGCAAGCCCTTGATCGGCGATCTGGTTCGGTAGACGTCTCCGCCTCGTTGAGGCAGTCTCGGGAATGGCCTCCATGTGGCCTGAAGCTGTGGAGGAGACACGCCAACAGATCAAAAAGCTCACGGACAGTCTACGTCGCGAGGGCTTCGTTTTTCTCCGGCGGCGATTCGGTGTCTACAGAACGGCGATCCTCTCCCAAAGCCTGCCATGGCCTTCGTCAAGGCCCCAGCTATCTCCCGCACTAATGAGGTGGACCCCATTCTGGGGCATGATATCTCATGGCCAAGAGGATGAAGTGATGAAATGAGTGAACATTGAGCTCATGAGCAGAATAAGCAGGATGGGAAAATGGTTGAATCTGGTGGGAATTTTGTATATGGCATATGGCTGAGCTTATTATGTTGGGGCCTAAGGATATGAGGGCCGAATGGGCTTGTGTTGAAGTGAAATTTTGGGCCAGGGAAATATTTTGTTGAGATTGGGCCATTTGAAACTGGGCCTTTAAATTCTGTTGAGGGGCTGGATTGAGACTTGCAAGCTGAATTGGGAATTGATTTGTTGGGCCCTAAATGGGCATGAAAAGAATTCCACCTGCAGTTTTTGGATTGATTGGTTCTGGGAACCAATTCTGTGGGGTCGTATGGAATAAGATGGCAGATTGGGCCTGGTCTATAAATAAAATGATAAGATGATGGCTGATGGCCGATTGGAATGTTGAAAGTGGTATATGAGGGAGGCATAAGGATGGTCCACCAAAGGTGGTGGGCCAATGGACCATGGAGCTGTTGGAGTGGGATTTATTTCCCGCATGGACTTGTGGAAGTGGGCTTGAATGGGCCTGTAGGAATTGTGCTCTGAAATGGCAGTTTGGGCCGAATGGCCTATGAAGGCATAAGAGGCGTTGGGCCATTTATTTCTGGTGAGGGGCGTGAGAGATAAATGAGGTGCAGTAATCATGTAAAAATTAATATGCTAGCATAAACCTATGGGCCGATTGGGCTATGATGATTTTTGGATTTATGCCTTTGGGCTTGAGGAGCGGCAGAAATGTTACAGTTGGGTCTTTGGGCCCTTTGGGCGACATGGGCTTGAGCCCTTGTGGGCCATGACGAATGGGACAATGGGTCTAAGGGCTGGAATTTGCTGATGGCCGTGAGCTTGTGATAAATATTATTATGGTGAGGGCTTGCTTGTTTGATTTGAAGATGGGCCGAAAGGGATTTGCATTGGAGGGATAAGGGGGGTCCACCTTGTTAGGTGGACCTCTTTGGCATGGTGGTGCATTATTGAAGCAAAGCTTATTAAAGTGGAGCTTAATAATGCCATGGAATAGATTCCACTATGAAAAATGATATTCCATGTTTCTTTGGGGGAATAAGGGAGGTCCACAAGATGGGTGGACCTCATGAGATACATGGTTTTCTTAGGCGTGTTGCCTTTGGTTTTTTTAGGTCATTATGGCCCTTGTGCTTATTATACTATTTTGTGTAGTTTTTAGACCTTTTTGATCCTTGTGGAGTTTTTTAGACCATTAGACCACCCTAAACCCCAAACCCCAAACCCTAAACCCTACGGTTCATTAAGCAAAAGGAATTATTTTGTGGATGATAGAAGGTTCATGAAGCTGGATGCACTGTAATTCTATGATTTTCTAGGCAGAGTTAATTGTGGTCTAATAATATTGGTCCACCTAGCTTGGGGGTCAATGGAGCTTAATGCATTATTGAGCTTCTGGAATGGAGTTAAGTGGCTGCTAGACTCAAGAACAATCATTATTACATGGACCATGATCCACATTATTGTGGACCATAAATAAAAAGTATATTTTTAATATACTAAAAGTACATTATTTGTATACTAAAAGTACATTATTCGAGGGTACATGAGAGCATCCTTATCAGTGGGGAGAATGTAAGAGTGATTAAGAAAGAAAATGTGGGAGGGGAGAGAAAAAAAAATGAATTAAAAAAAAATATAAAATTAAAAAATTAAAAATTAAAAAAAAAAATCAAGGGCGTTTCTCTTTTTTTTTTTTTCTTTTTCTTTTAATTCTGACATTATTTTCTCATTTGCAGAAAAACTCTTTTTCCATTATCTCATCCGCACATCAAGTATGCTCCTTTGCTTGAGAGGTTTCATTCTGAAGAAACTTGAAAAAAGACACTACAGTGGATGCTCTTAGTTTATTACTAAAAGTACATTATTTTATATATATTATCAAATAATGTACATTCAATACATAAATAATGTACATTTAATATATTAAAAATTTACCCTATATTCATGATCACACAAGTTGTGTGGATCATGATCCATACAATAATTTGCCACTCAAGAAGGATTTGCTTGGTGGGATTTATTTCCGCTGGGCTGAATTAAAATGGTGACATAAGGATGGGCCGTTGCTGATGTTGGGCTGGGAAATAAAATGGTGACATTAGATCATGGCCTGGGCCGTGGTAAATAGCAGCTGGGCTGCTGTGGATTTGGACCTCCTGATTTGGGAATTATTTCCCAATTGTCATATGAAGACCGTATGGGCCTTTGGTTTATGAACCCTA